CACAGCTCTGTTTTGGATGTGCTCTCCCCATGGGTGCCCATCACTCTCCCTTTCATCCTGTGGGTGCTGCTGTCCATGAAAGGAGCACACAGCCCTCAGGCCCAAGGGAGGGTGTGTGCAGCAGGAAGAACCAGCTCTCCAACAGAGGTTCAGCTTGTGGGGGCTGGAAACACCTTTTAGGCTGCTCGTTGGGGTGACTGAAATAATGCCCTTGTGAGCACAGGGACCAGCAGTGTCCTCACCCCCTCCTTGTGTCCTCGTTGGTGCCCCAGGGGGTTCTGGCCCTGAGGAGTGGAGGGTGACCTCATCCCACACTGCTCCTCACTGCAGCTCCAGACGAGTTCTCTGCCTTTGTCTTGCAGTTCTGATGCCGCTGTTGGATCACTGCAGCGTGCAGCCCGATGCCAGGGTCGCCTCCCACCCCTTCTTTGGGCTGAATGCCCAGATCAGGTAAGGCCTGGAGATGTTCTCAGCAAAGGGAAGGGATCGATTTTGCCGGCGGCGGGGATCTTGCATGCTCAGACTGCTGATGGAGGAGCTTGTTTGGGTTCCCTGAGTAGGCTCATTTGGTAATGCCTCATTTGATAATCCTTTTGATAATGGATTTCCATAATGGCCTCTGGATGGGGCTGACAGACCCACCTCAGCTCAAGGTGGACGGGTCAGAAGTTCACCCCAGAGCCTGGTGGTGTGTGCAGGGAGGGAGAGTGACCTGCGTGTCCTGCCAGGGCAGGCTGTCTCCAACCAGTCTGCGTTCCCTTGACACGTGGTCTTCCTCAGCGTGCGAAGGCTCTCCCTCGGGCCAGGGCAGCGTTCCCTCATTTCATGGCTCTGCTTAGCCTAAAAATAGATGGAGGCAGAAGTTCTGGATGGTGAAGTGGATGGCAACATCCAGGCAGGAGCCTGCGAGTCCTCTCGTGTTCCCACGCCGAAGGCCGGCGCAGAGCTGAGCCCTCGCCATCCTGTGAGGAGCAGGAGGAGGAGGAGGGTGCCGTGAGTAACAGCCATCTCCCGTAGCCAGTCGCCCGCCCTGAACCAGCTGACATCCCTGTACGTGGGCAGGACACACGCCCTGTGGAAGGACCCGGCTGTCATGGCCTGGCTGGAGCCCCACGTCCACGAGGTTCTGCGCATGGTGGACGCCCAGGACGCGCTGGTGCAGGAGGCTGAGCACAAGTGAGCACAGAGGGTGGAGGGCAGGGTTCCTGTGCCAGGGACAGGGGACAAAATGGGACAGAGGGTCTGTCCTGGGCAGCAGCAGTTCCAGTGTCTGGGGCAGGCTCAGAACCCCACAGCTGCTGGTCTGATGCTGAAGGTCACAGCATAGGGCCAGGAAGGCAGTGGCTCTTCCATGCTTTTCACAAATGGGAATGTAGAGCTGAACCTGCACTGCATATCCTGCGCTGCCTTCCCCAGGCTTGGCTGTCACCTGTACCCTGGAAACATCCTGGAGAGGGTGGAGGGATGGCCTGGAAGGGCAGGGATAGCCACACAGGGCAGGTGAGAGCTTAGAAACACTTCCCAGTGCTGAGAAACAGGAGAGAGCTCTCAGGTGTCCTAAACCAAGGTCAATCTGCTCATTCCTGAGCTCTCTGCTCTTTCTCCAGAGCTCAGCAGCTCCCACCCCCTTTGGCTTGCTCTAAGCCAGCTCCATCCAATATGGCCTTGTCCCCCAGAGCCAGGGAAGCTGCTGACACTGCGCCTGGAGCAGCAGAAATGGGAATGTGCCTGCTCAGGGCTCACTGCTCTGTCCCCTCCCCGCCTCAGGAGGAAGATCCGGTACCAGAGCGCTCCCAGGAACATCTACAGGCACATCATCCTCTCGGAGATGAAGGAGGCCACGGCAGCCCTGCCTCTGGTGAGGGGCCTGATGGGCCACAGGGGCTGTGGCTGCACGTGTTGTGGTGGCATTTGTGTCCCTGCTGGGCTGGTCCTAAGCCCGTCACCCATGGCTTCTGTGGGTGCCCATGTTTGCTGCTGCTGGATGCACAGCCTTCATTCCTTCCTTTCTCCCTCATCCCTCCTTTCTCTTCTCCCTGCAGGAGGTGACCTCCCAGCCAGTGATGGGGTTTGACCCCCTCCCTCCTCTGGATTCCATTGTTTCCTACACCCGACCAGAAAGGTACCACCTGCGCTGGCACAGCCGGCCGTGTTCCCTCAGCCCCAGGCCAGGCTGCGCGCGGGCACTCGGTGCTGGCATCCTCCTCCTTGGCAGAGGAAGAGCTGTGGTGCTCCAGGCAGGCACAGCTACAGGCTGGACTGGTCCTGCTGCTTCCCACAGTGGTCATTCCCAGCCACAGGGCAAAAGCCAGGGAAAACCCAGGCCACGGCTGACTGGGAGGGTTGGGGGTAAATGGAAATTTAAATACAGCCAGTCCTGACGTTGGGGTGATGCCATGTGTGTGTTCCACACCAATCCACTCAGAGCAGAGCTGGTAGGATCATGGAATCCTGGAATGGTTTGGGTTCAAAAGACCTTAAAGCTCATCTCATTCTACCCCCTGCAATGGGCAGGGACCTTTTCCAGTAGACCAGGCTGCTCCAAGCCCCTTCCAACCTGCCCTTGGTTGTGCTCTTAGTGACTGGTTTGCTCAGAGTTGCCTGAATTCATTGGAATTCAGTTCCCTCCCTCAGGGCTGGTTCCAGCAGCACCATGGTTCTCCCAGCACCGCCCACATCCCAGTGAGGAGTCACAAACTGAGCTGTACCTTCACCATGGTGCCACTTGTGTCTTGCAGGACGAGCCATCCCTCCAACGAAAGCACTTTATCCCTCTTCTTCCGCTCGCTGTTGCCAAATTTTAACTTGCAGGTGAGTGCACGCTGGGATTTGGGTGCACCGCTCCCCCGTGGTGTTCCTGCTCCAGGAGCCGCTGCTGGCAACAGCCTGCTGCTGGTTTGGCACCACTGTCCCCGTCCCTGCCACCACAGTGCTGCTCTCTCCTAGGGGGACATCCGGCACGACGGGGACGACGAGGCCGGGGCGGCGCAGGACCTCAACCAGGGGGTGAACAGGCTGATGGCGGCCATGCGGGACATGCTGGCCAACATCCAGTTCCAGGAGCCCCCCCGCGAGGACAATCCCGAGGGCGACGGCGACTGGGATTGAGCCGGGGTGTCCCTCCCCAGCCCCTCCGGCGTCACCCCCCGGTTTGTGTCGCACTCCAATAAAGTCACACAGATGGACTCGCTGTGGGAATGGGCTGTTCTGAGCAGGGGGCTGCATCCGTGGCATGGTGTCCATCCAGGGAGGGGGGCTGAAGCCACAGCCAAGGGCCTTGTCCAGGGCCCCTCTCTCAAAGGGAACGGGGGCTGTCTGAGCATGTCCAAGCTAATCAACAGCAGCTGTCCCTTGTCCCCATGGCAGCTTAGTCCCCTTCTGGCCTCCTCTACACACAATTTCCATCCTATTCCCCTCCCTGTTCTCCTGGCCCTTGTCCTTAATTCCCAGAGGGGTTTTACTGCCCTCTTCTTCAGCTCCTTTGTGCTTCCCATAGCCTGGAGCTTCCTTCCCTCCACAAAACACTCTGCACCCTCACTACACTGAGCCTTCCAAAGGTCTGAGAGTCCCCTGTGCCACTAGAATTGTGCATGGAGCAGCTTTTAATTATGTTTGGAGAAGAAATCTTTCCCCCCTTCTTTGTTTGTCTATCCTTTATTCTCTCACCTTCACCTAGAGCAAGGAGCGAGGTAAGCCACAGTCAAACCTTAACTCATCCTTGTTCCCGTAAAGCTTTTTTCCCTTTTTTTGCTGAGTAATGGTGAATACATGGAATAAATCCCTGTTGCTGCTGTATTGCCTCCCGGGGGGATGTAGCTGGGCTCGGTGTGCAGACCCCGAGTCTCAAGCCAGCCCGCCCTGCCTCCATTCCCCACTGGTATATCCAAATCCCATGGGATCCCATCCCCATAATTCGGCACTGGGGCAGCCTGGGACCCCATGCCCAGTGTGTGCAGCTGAGCCATTTTCATGCCTGCCAGAGGGAAGGGCTTCCCAGCGGAAGTGGATAACCGTGGGATCAGCCTGCCCGTGGAGCTGTGAATGGCTCTTTGGCAGCCGCGCGGCTCCAGGCATCAACACGGAGCGAAGGCACATGACGGTCAGATGGGCCCTGTCCCCACAGCCTGCCTGGGCTCCCTCCGGCGCCGGGCTCGGCAGCGTCCCATTTAACCGTGCCTTTGACGATTCCTATCGCGTCCCATGCCCGCCCCGTTGTACAACGTCTTCCCTGGGGCCGTGGCCGTGGCACCCTCCCAGTGCCAATGCGTGGGACAGCGTGCAGTGCAGAGGGTCCCGTGGGTCCCTAAGGCTCGTGGATAGCTCAGGGGGTGTGGATGACCCCCACAGCAGATGGGACCCCTCAAGGCAAGAGTCCCACACTGACCTCCATAGGACACAGGCCTGCAGGGCACGGGGGACCTCTCAAGATATGCAGGCCTCCAGGGTTCTGGGGTCCCCCCAGTGACACAGGACCTCAGGACGTGTGGGGACCCTAAGGTGCACAGTCCCAAAGGACACAGAGGACCCCTATGGCAGCGTCCCTGGGGTGTATGGACCACCCCAGGGCATTTGAGACCCCTGGGCACACGGTGATCCCAAGCAACCGGGGTTCCCAGGGCCATCCTGGGGGTGTCTCAGCCCTGGCCTCGGCAGCGGCCCCTCTCTCTGCCGGGGTGCCTCCCTCACGCAGGTGCCCACCCTCCTCGGAGGAGGAGCTGCGGGACCGCTTTAAAGTGGGGCAGAGAAAGGGCCCTTTCTTCCCCAGCACCCTGGGCCGGCGGGCGTGGGACGCCGGGCAGCGCTGGCACGGAGAGCGGCCGCCACACCGGAGGGTCCCGGCGGGCACACGACACCCCCGGCACATCCCAGGCCTCCCGTCCCCAATTCCTCGGCATCCCCTCGGCCTCGCCGCCGGGCGCCGCGGGAGAACTGGCGGGGCACAACGGGGGCTCGGGGGCTGTGCGGGTGCCACGGGGGGCCCCGGGGCTGAGGAGGGGGTCATGTCGACGCTGGCCCCCCTGCGTCTGCTGCGCGAGCCCTCGAATGCCAGCGAGGGCAACCACAGCAACGCCACGGTCGGGGCCAGCGGCGGCTGGTGCCAGGGGCTGGACATTCCCAACGAGCTGTTCCTGGCGCTGGGGCTGGTGAGCCTGGTGGAGAACCTGCTGGTGGTGGCAGCCATCCTGAAGAACAGGAACCTGCACTCGCCCACCTACTACTTCATCTGCTGCCTGGCGGTGTCGGACATGCTGGTGAGCATCGGCAACCTGGCGGAGATGCTCTTCATGCTGCTGCTGGAGCACGGGGTGCTGGTGATGCGCCCCAGCATCGTCCGCCACATGGACAGCGTCATCGACACGCTCATCTGCAGCTCCGTGGTCTCGTCCCTCTCCTTCCTGGGGGTCATCGCCGTTGACCGCTACATCACCATCTTCTACGCGCTGCGCTACCACAGCATCATGACCCTGCAGCGCGCCGTGGTCACCATGGCCAGCGTCTGGCTGGCCAGCACCGTCTCCAGCACCGTCTTGATCACCTACTACCGCAGCAACACCGTCCTCCTCTGCCTCATCGGCTTCTTCCTCTTCATGCTGGTCCTCATGCTGGTGCTCTACATCCACATGTTCGCCCTGGCCCGCCACCACCTCCACAGCATCTCCAGCCAGCAGAAGCCACCCACCGCCCACCGTGGCGGCAGCCTGAAGGGCGCCGTCACCCTCACCATCCTCCTGGGCGTCTTCTTTATCTGCTGGGGGCCCTTCTTCTTCCACCTCATCCTCATCGTCACCTGTCCCACCAACCCTTTCTGCACCTGCTTCTTCAGCTACTTCAACCTCTTCCTCATCCTCATCATCTGTAACTCGGTGATTGACCCTCTCATCTACGCCTTCCGGAGCCAGGAGCTCCGGCGGACGCTGCGGGAGGTGGTGACGTGCTCCTGGTAGGCAGGGGGACACGGTACCGGCACGGCCACCCCCGACCTGAAATGGACGGATGGACGGACTGACGGATGGACAGGACGAGCCGCGGGGTGCCCGGTCCGGGCGAGGGACTCGCGGTTCCCAATAAAGGCTCTTTGCAGTGACGCTGTGACTGGCATCGGGCGGCCCCGGGGAGCCCCGAGGGGAGAGGTCCCTCCCGGTCCCGCCGCTCGGTCAAGGGTCACTTGCTCCCCGCGGGAACCGGGAAGGACCGGCTGGGCGGCGGGAGGCTGGACCCTGCGCGCGGGGTGGTCCCGGCCGCCCCCGGACAAAGGGCCCATCACCGTCGCCTTTGTTCTCGGGCCGCGCCCGCCGCCGCCCACCTCAGCACCGGCACCGGCACCGTCCCCGGTCCCGCGGGGGAGACCGGCAACCGGGACCCGCAAGGTGGCTCTCCCGTACCCTGTCCCTACCCCTCCCCGTCCCGGGACGCGGCTGGGAGGGGTGTCCCCTGTGTGTCCCCCCACCCCGCCGCCGCCGCCGCCGCCCCGGGATGCTCCCGCCGCCGCCGGGTGGTCCCAGGGTCCCCGCACGGCTCCCGGGGTGTCCCCGCTCCCCGTGGGTGCCGGGGGCGCCCCCCCGGCCGTGCCCCCCGCGGGTGCCGGTGTCCCCGCTCCGCCGCGGCGGGGCGTGGCCGCGGGCGGGCGCCCCCCGCCCCCCGCCTTTGTCCGTCAGCACCGCGGACAGCGCCCGCGCCGCGCCCCGCCCGCCCGCCGGGGGTCCCGGTGCCCCCCGCCCTGCTCGGGATTTTGGGTGTCTGCGGGATCCCCCTGCCCCCGCCCCGCTGAGCCCTGTCCCGGGGTTTGAGGAGTCCTGATGCCCCCCGCCCTGCTCGGGATTTTGGGGGATCCCGGTGCCCGCCGCCCCGCTGGGACCTGCCCAGCCGTTTGGGGAGTCCCGGTGCCCCCCGCCTCTCCCTGCCTGGGGATTTCAGTGTTTGGGGTATCCCACTGCCTTTTGCCCCACCCAGCCCTGCCTAGGGATGGGAGGATCCCGGTGCCCCGTGCCTCGCCGGGGGGCCTGGGGGTGTTCCAATGCCTCCCACCCTGCTGAGCTCCCCGTCCTCCCCAGTTCTGGGAGGTGATCAGCGACGAGCACGGCATCGACCCCAGCGGCAACTACGTGGGGGACTCGGACCTGCAGCTTGAGCGCATCAGCGTCTACTACAATGAGGCCTCTTGTAAGCGACCCCCCCTCGGCACCTCCCTGGCACGGCAGCCTGGCACCCCCGCCCTGGGCTGGGGTGGGGCCCCAGTCTGACCCCCCAGTGCAGGAGGAGCTGGGTCTGGTGGGATGGGGAGGGGGGCACATAGACAGACCCACCCCGTGGAGGTGTGGGGTGGGCAGGCACGTGCACCCCCATTTCGTTCGGGGCAGGGGGAAATCGTGCACGCCCAGTTCCATGGGACCCTGCGATTTGGGAGGGGTCGCACACAACACCTGCACCCCAGCCCTGTTGGCCCAGGGAGGGCAGACATGTGCACCCACCCCCTGAGACCCTGCACTGTGGGGGGGCAGGGGGCACATGTTCCTCCAAGTTCATGGGACCCTGTAGCTGGATGGGGGCATGACACGTGTCCCACCCCATGGGACACTGTGGTGTGGGGGGGACACCACACATGCACCCAGTCCCACGGGACCCTGGGGTTTGTGGAGAGAGGGACACCTGCACCGGCCCTGTAGCATCCTGTGGTGTGGGAGGGACAAAACACCAACATCCCCCCAGCCCACGGGGAATGGGGGCAGACATGTGCACCCACCCCATGTCACCCCCATTGTTTGGGGGGCACGAGACATGCACCCACACCACATCTGGGATTTAGGGGGGGGACACAACCTGTGCATCCAGCCCCATAGAACCCTGCAGGGTGCAGGGAACACCTCTGGGGCGGGATGGGGGGACGGCAGCAGGTCCCCTCCCGTCATGGGGTCTCTCTCAGCTCACAAGTACGTGCCTCGCGCCATCCTGGTGGACCTGGAGCCGGGGACGATGGACAGCGTGCGCTCGGGTGCCTTCGGCCACCTCTTCCGCCCTGACAACTTCATCTTCGGTAGGTCCCCGGGGAGGGAGGGAGGGAGGGAGGAAGGGATGCACCGTGCCCCGATGTTTCCCCAGCCCCAGCATCCTCGGACCCGCCCGGCCAGTCGCCATCCCCGGGGCACTCGGCGGGCACACCCCTCCTGCGCCGCGGGGCCCGGCGCTGCCGGCTCGCCGCCAAACCTCTGCGGTTCCTGCTTCCCACCCCGCCCCGGCGTCAGATCTCCCCGGTGCTGCCGGCGGCAGCGGCTGGTCCCAGCCCCGATCCTCTCCCCGGTGCCCTCGGGCCGTGGGCGTGGGGGGCCAGCGGCCATCGGGGCCTCTTTTCTTTTCCCAGGGCAGAGCGGTGCCGGGAACAACTGGGCCAAGGGGCACTACACGGAGGGGGCCGAGCTGGTGGACTCGGTGCTGGATGTGGTGCGGAAGGAGTGCGAGAACTGCGACTGCCTGCAGGGCTTCCAGCTGACCCATTCCCTGGGCGGCGGCACCGGCTCGGGCATGGGCACGCTGCTGATCAGCAAGGTGCGGGAGGAGTACCCCGACCGCATCATGAACACCTTCAGCGTGGTGCCGTCCCCCAAGGTGTCCGACACGGTGGTGGAGCCCTACAACGCCACGCTGTCCATCCACCAGCTGGTGGAGAACACGGACGAGACCTACTGCATCGACAACGAGGCGCTCTACGACATCTGCTTCCGCACCCTCAAGCTGGCCACCCCCACCTACGGCGACCTCAACCACCTGGTGTCGGCCACCATGAGCGGCGTCACCACCTCCCTGCGCTTCCCCGGCCAGCTCAACGCCGACCTGCGCAAGCTGGCCGTCAACATGGTGCCCTTCCCGCGGCTGCACTTCTTCATGCCCGGCTTCGCGCCGCTGACGGCGCGCGGCAGCCAGCAGTACCGCGCCCTCACCGTGCCCGAGCTCACCCAGCAGATGTTTGACGCCAAGAACATGATGGCCGCCTGCGACCCCCGCCACGGCCGCTACCTCACCGTGGCCACTGTCTTCCGTGGCCGCATGTCCATGAAGGAGGTGGACGAACAGATGTTGGCCATCCAGAGCAAGAACAGCAGCTACTTTGTGGAGTGGATCCCCAACAACGTCAAGGTGGCCGTATGCGACATCCCGCCGCGGGGGCTGAAGATGTCCTCCACCTTCATCGGGAACAGCACGGCCATCCAGGAGCTCTTCAAGCGCATCTCGGAGCAGTTCACGGCCATGTTCCGCCGCAAGGCCTTCCTGCACTGGTACACGGGCGAGGGCATGGACGAGATGGAGTTCACCGAGGCCGAGAGCAACATGAACGACCTGGTGTCCGAGTACCAGCAGTACCAGGACGCCACGGCCGAGGAGGAGGGCGAGATGTACGAGGACGACGAGGAGGAGTCGGAGGCGCAGGGCGCAAAGTGCCCCCCGCCGCGCCCGGCACTGCCCGCGGCCCCCCGGCTTCGCGCTGCTGCAGCCCCAGGTGCTGCTCCCCCCGCCGTCCCCTCAGTGTCTCCTGACCCCATTCCCCCCTGAGCCGGCTCGGCCCCTCGCCCCCCCCTTCCTACCTCCCCCCTTTTCGTTTTTTACTGGTTCGTGTCTTATTATTTTTTTTGAATACTTAATAAATTTATTGCTGTCCAGGTACTGCCTGTCTGTGCCTGCTGGGTGGTGGGGACAGGGGACACCCACAGGGTTCGGCCCCCCCAGCCATTCCCAGCCAGGGGAGGTGTTTGGGAAGCCCCCATGCACTGCGCCCCACCCTCAGATCCAGCTGCCCCAGGCCGGCTGTGCCTTTGTCCCCACTGTCACCCTTCTCCATGCTGGGGGGGTGTGGCAGGACACAGCTGGCCCTTTGTTCCCCAATCTGAGGTGGCAGCACAGACCCCAGGGTGTTTCCCCAGGGCTGGGTGTGTGCCCAGCTGCGGAGGACTCAGCACACTCCCGGACCTGAGCCCCCGGTTTTGGAGGCCATTGACCGGCAGGGCTGTGGGCTGTAGGAACAAGGGGCTGTGGGGACGGGGACACTGGGGATGAAGGCTGTAGGGGTGGGGTCTGTAGGGGTGGAGACAGTGAGGATGGAGGCTGTGGGTTGTGGGGATGGGGGCTGTAGGGACAAGGTATGGTTGGGCAGGGGGTTCTGGGGCCGTGGGGGGACAGGAGGGGACAGGAGGGGACAGCAGGGGACAGGAGGGGACAGCAGGGGACAGCAGGGGACAGCAGGGGCTGCGGGGCCCTCGGGGGGCCGGGATGCGTGGACGGTGCCGGTACGTGGTGACCGTGGGCCGAAGCGGGCGGTGGCGGCGGGGCAGGGCGGGGGCACGGGCGTGGGAGGCGGAGAGACGCGTCTGTCCGCGGGGACCGAGATGGGAACGGGAACGGAGACGGAGACGGGGTATGGTGCCTGCACCGAGCTGTCGGGGACGGGGGCGGTGCTGGGGTGGTGGTGCTTGTGACAGAATGCCGGTGCCGGTGTTTGTGCCGGTGCCGGTGTGTCGGTGTCACTGCCGGTGCCGGTGTGTCGGTGTGTCGGTGTCACTGCCGGTGCCGGTGCCGGTGTGTCGGTGTCACTGCCGGTGCCAGTGTGTCGGTGTCACTGCCGGTGCCGGTGCCGGTGTGTCGGTGTCACTGCCGGTGCCGGTGTGTCGGTGGCAGTGCTGGGGTTTCTGTGGGTGTACCCGGGTGTCGGTGTGGGGGTGTCAGTGCCCGTGCCGGGGTTTCAGCGTTGCTGTAGGGGTGCCGGTGCCGGTGTCCCCGGTGGGTTACCGGGGTGTTGCTGCTGCGGGGGAGGTGGCGGTGCTGAGGTGGCAGTGCCAGGGGGGTGGTGCCGGCGTCTCAGTGCTGGTAAGGAGGTGTTGGTGACAGCGTTGCTGGTGCTGGCACGTCAGTGCCGGTGCTGGCACATCAGTGCCGTGACAGGCTGTTGGTGACAGTGCCGGTGCTGCTGAGGCGCCATTGCTGCCTGGCATGGGGTGACTGTGCCGGTGCCGGTGATGGTGCCGGTGCCCGTGCTGGGCTGACTCAGGCGGTGTCCTCTGGCCAGCAGGACGGTGGCGATGGCGTCGGATGAGCGGCTGGCCCGCTTCCGCCAGGCCCACCTGAACCCCTTCAACAAGAGCCCCGAGCAGCCGGAGCGCCCCGACGGAGCCTCCCCTGCCCCAGGTGGGTGCTGCTTCCCCCACCGCCCCCCCTGCCCCACACTGGGGTGGGCAGCCAGCCCCAGCCCCCGTTCCGGGGTGGTCCAGCCCCCCATGAGACCCCCCCTTTGCAGCCCAGCAGCCGGATCCCACCCCAGGGGACCCCGAGGGCGCCCTGGACCTGGGGCTGGCCGAGGACCACTTCTCCCGGCCCGTGGTGAGTGGGGAGGGCGTTGTGGGGCTGGGGGGGGACGCGGGGGGCTCAGCTCACCCTCCTGCTCCTGCGGTGGTGCTGGCAGGGGCTGATCCTGGCGTCGGACGTGCCGCAGCTGCGCCGGGCCATCGAGGAGTGCAAGCGGGTGATCCTGGCGCTGCCCGAGCACTCCGAGCGACAGAAGGACGCCGTGGTCCGGCTCATCCACCTCCGCCTCAAGCTGCAGGAGCTGAAGGTGGGGCTGAGGCTGGGGCTGGGGCCCAGAGGGTCTCTGTGGCTGGGGGTCCGTGCTGACACCCATCCCTGGAAGGCTGGACCGGCCTTGGAGCAGCCTGGGATGGTGGAAGGTGTCCCACCCACGTCAGGGGAGGACCTTTAAGGTTCAACCCAAGCCATTCCCTGATTCTTTAGTTCTGTGACCCCCCCTTTCCCCCTGCAGGACCCTGGTGAGGATGAGCCCAACATCCGGGTGGTGCTGGAGCATCGTTTCTACAAGGAGAAGAGTAAGAGCGTCAAGCAGATGTGTGACAAGTGCAGCACCATCATCTGGGGGCTCATCCAGACCTGGTACACCTGCACAGGTGGGTCTGGCACACCCCCTGCACGTCCCCGTCTGCCCCGTGCCCACCCTGACCCCCAGCTGCGCCCCCCCAGGCTGCTACTACCGCTGCCACAGCAAGTGCCTGCCGCTGGTGAGCCGGCCGTGCGTGCGGGCCCAGGTCAGCCACCAGGCCGAGTACCAGCTCAGCATCTGCCCCGAGAGCGGGCTGGACAGCCAGGACTACCGCTGCGCCGAGTGCCGGGCCCCCATCTCCCTGCGTGAGCCCCTGCTGCTGGGGGGCTGGGGGAGCAGGGCATGGGAGGGCTCTGGGTCATGGGGCTCTGTGGGGCTTGGGGAAACCAGGGCTGGGGGGGCTGCGGGGAGCTCGTAGTTGGGGGCTCTGTGGGGCTGGGATGAGCTGAGGACTCTGTGGGGTTGGGGTGTAGGGCTAGGGGGCTCCTGAAGCTCTGTGGGACTGAGGGGTGGTGAGGATGAGGGGGCTGGGCTCCCTTGGGGGGCTCTCTGAGGCTGGGGGAGCTGCTGGGGCTGAGGGCTGGGAGGTGTGTGGGGCTGGCAGGAGCTGACAGTGTGGGCTATGGGGGCTGGGAGTCATGGGGATCTGGGGAAGGTGACACTGGGGCCCTGCCGTGTCCCCAGGTGTTGCTGGGTGTCCTGGGGGCACGCACAGGGTGTGGGCTGAGCAGAGAGCAGGGCGGTGCCCGTGCCAGCCCCGTGCCAGCCCTGTGCCACCGCAGGGGGGGTGCCCAGCGAGGCCCGGCAGTGTGACTACACCGGCCTCTACTACTGCTCCAGCTGCCACTGGAACGACCTGGCCGTGGTGCCCGCCCGTGCCATCCACAACTGGGACTTCGAGCCCCGCAAGGTGCCCCTGGCGTGGGCTGGGGGCACCCTGGGTGTCACAGGAGACCCTTGGGACACTGACCCTGAGTGGAGGCCACCTGGGGGGCCATGTCCTTGTTCGTGGGGGTCCCTGGGAGGTGCATCCCTGGGTAGAGGTGACTTGGGAGCTGTGTCCTTTGTCATGGGGGTCCCTGGAGGGCATGTCCCTCGGTAGAGGTCACTTGGGGGATCCCATCCCTGATCTTGCATGTCCCTGGGGACCGTGGCCTTGTGTAGATGTCACCTGGGGGACCACCCCCCTGGTCATGGGGGCCATGTCCCTGGTCATGGGGGTCACTGGGCAGAGATCACTTGAGGGGAAGCCATGTCCCCCGGGCCGTGTCCCTGTCATGGGTCCCTGTGATGGGTCCGTGGGTGGTGGCAGCAGGGCTGGCGGGTGCTGACGGTGGCCCTGGCGGTGTTGGGCAGGTGTCACGGTGCAGCATGAGGTACCTGGCACTGATGGTGTCACGGCCGGTGCTGAAGCTGCGGGAGATCAACCCACTGCTCTTCAACTACGTGGAGGAGCTGGTGGAGATCCGGGTGAGTGCTGGGTCTGGGGAGGACACCCCACAAGGGCAGGGGACACCACAGAGGGCCTGGGCAGTGAGCAGGAGGTGGGGGGACCCCAGTGGCACCCACGGGGTCCGACAGAGAGGAAGCAAGGTGGGGTGGGGGGTTTGGGGCAGAGGGTGCCCAGACTTCAACAGGGATGAACTTGACTCAGTCTGGTCTTTTTCTTGTCATGCTCCTGTCCCCATCCTCACCCTCATCCTGCCCCTACCATTGCCCTTTTCCCTATGGTCCTATTCCTGTCCCCACCTCTGTCCCCATTGCTGTATTTCCATCCCATTCCTGTCCCAATCCCCATCCTTTCCTGTTCTCACACTGTTTCCATCTCATCCTTGCCCTGTCCCCATCCTGCCACTGCTGTTTGCCCTGTCCTTGGGATCCCTGCCCTACACCCATTCCTGTCCCCATTCCCACCCCTGCCGTGGTGTCCCCCTGCAGAAGCTGCGCCAGGACATCCTGCTGATGAAGCCCTACTTCATCACCTGCAAGGAGGCGATGGAGGCGCGGCTGCTGCTGCAGGTCGGGCTGGGGGCCAGGGCCAGGCGTGGCGGTCACACAGAGGTGACAGTCACACAGAGGTGGCGGTCACACAGAGGTGGCAGTGACACACACTCCCCCACAGCTGCAGGACCGGCAGCACTTTGTGGAGAACGACGAGATGTACTCGCTGCAGGACCTGATCGACATCGAGGCCGGGCGCCTGGGCTGCTCGCTCACCGAGATCCACACGCTCTTTGCCAAGCACATCAAGCTGGACTGCGAGGTGAGCCCATGCTGGGGGGCAGAGCCGTGGGGAGACCCCCGTGGGGCCAGTGGAGGGCTGGCAGGGTCACCAGTGTCACCTGCTGCCTGCTCCCCCAGCGATGCCAGGCCAAGGGCTTCGTCTGCGAGCTGTGCCGGGAGGGCGACGTGCTCTTCCCCTTCGACAGCCACACCTCGGTCTGCGCCGACTGCTCTGCCGTCTTCCACAGGTACCGGGGGCACGCTGGGGCGGGAGGTGGGGACGGGGGCGTGGCAGGGGGTGACCCAACGCTGTCCCCCTCCCTCTCCAGGGACTGCTACTACGACAACTCCACCACCTGCCCGCGCTGCGCCCGGCTGAGCCTGCGGAAGCAATCCCTGTTCCAGGACTCCGGCACGGAGGCAGAGCCCTGAAGGGGGTCTGGCCCCACTGTGGGGTCTCAGGCCCAGGGCTGCCCCCCACCCACCACAGGGCCCTGGGATGGACACAGTCAGCCCAGTGGGGGTTTGGGGACTGGGGTGGCCCCGGCTCCGGGATGCTCTGCTCGTGGACGTGGCAGCACTGCCGGGAGGGAATCACTGCTGGAGCCCAGCCCTTCCCGGGAGCATGGAGAGCCTCACCGGAGGGCCGGGATCGGGTTAGCTGGGATCCGGTAAAGGCCCCACAGCGGCTCCTGCCGTCCCTGCCTGGAACCGGGCTGCTGCTGCGCGGCCCTGCGGTGACAGCTGCTGGCAGGAGGGCTCAGCCCTGGCACCGCCGTGGGACCGAGTCCCTGCCGCACACAGTACCGGACTCTGCTCCCTCCCCAGCCCACCGTTACCGGGGCCGAGCTGCGGGGGGATGCTGCGGGATCCTCCCGGGGCTGGACCGGGTGCGGTGTGGAGCCGCTGCCTCCCCTTCTCCCGGTGTTTCCTGTAGCATTAAGGAGCCTCTTTGCGCAACCCAGCACTCGTGTCCCTGCTTCGGGCGGCGGCGGGGGGCACCGGGGCACGGGCAGGATGTGCGAATGCCCGGGGGCGGCAGCCCGGGAGCTCCCGCCGAGGCTGGGGCTGCCGGGGGCGAGCACCGGCACCGACCCGACCCCGGGCCGCTCCGCGGGCCAGCGCCGCCCGCGGGACGGTAATTGCGCTGCGCGACGTGGTCGGGGATGTGCCGCAGTCACCGCCGGTCTCCCGCCCACCGAGAGTGGCCGCGGCCACGCTGCCCCGGTACCCGGTACGGCGGGGCACCCCCCTTCCCGCTGCTCCCGAGGTGTTCCGTGCCCCCAGGTCCTCCCGCTCCCCAGCGCGGCGGCGCACACGGGCAGAGGCCGGCGGTGGGTCGGTCGGTCGGTTTTACCGGATCACAGCACTGCTACATCAGAACCGGGCGGGCACCGGCACCGGCCGCGCTCCGTCGGGCCGCGCTGAGCCGTGCGACCCGTCCGGTCCTGCCCCATCCGCCGCTCCCGGCAGCCAAGGCCGTGCCGCTCCCGGGGGCCGGCGGGACCGGCCCGGTTTCCCCCCGGGGCTGCTGGCCACCGGCTGAGGGCAGCCCGGTACGTCCCCGCCGCGGGGCTGGGGCCGCCTCTGCCCTCCGGGCGGGCTAACGGGAGTCCTGCGCCCGGGGACGGGCTCCATCGGTACCGACGGGACCAGCGCCGGCGTGTCCCGGTGTCCCGCGGCGGGTTCTGTCCCTACGGCTCCCGCGGGCGCTCGGCGGGCAGGAAGGCGTCCGGGGGTCCCGGGGGTCCCGGAGGCAGCTCGGGGTCACTCAGGTGCTTCTTGTCCCGGCCCTGCTCCCGCGCGCGGGTCCAGGAGGGCGAGCGCAGGTACCCGGCCCGCGGCGGCGGCGGCGGCTGCAGCCCTGCGGGACGCACGGGCGGTCAGCGGCGCACCGGCACGGCCGGACAGACCGGCACCGGCGGCCCCGGACCCCCGCTCACCGCCGGGCGTCTCTGCGGCCACGTTCTCCTCGTCGGAATCGGCGAAAACCTCGGCCAGCTCCTGGTCCGACATATCCGTCAGCTCGGTGAGGTCCAGCAGGTCGAAGTGCACCTCCAGCGAAGACACGCTGCTCAGGGGCTCTGCGGGCACCGGCCGCGGCTGGGGACCCACCGCTGGCCCCGCTGGGGGAGCCGGGGGTCTGCTGCTTGGGGAGCAGGGAGCTGGGGGGATGAGGGGCTGGGGGGGGGTCATGACTGGCTGGGGGCTAGCAGGGGACTCTAGGGCTGCCAGGGGACCCCAGGGACAGGAAGGAGAGCCCGGGGGATGACAGAAGACTGGGGACAGGCAGGAGACCCCGAGGGCCGGCTGAGGACTCTCGGGGACAGGCAGGAAAGCCCGGAACGGATCCGAGGTGCTGGGGACAGGCAGGTGATGCTGTGGGCAGGCAGACATCCCAGGGACAAAGCAGGGGACCTCAGGCACAGGCAGGGATGGCAGGAGCTGGCAGGGACCCCAGCTCAGGGCCTCACTCACGTCGGCGCTCGGTGACCTGCAGCAGGCCGGCGCTGGGGATGGGGATGCCACCCTGCTCCTCCGCGGGGACTCGGGGGGTCTCCTGGGCCGGCCCGTGGGTGGGGGTCCCTGCGGGGCGCTCCGGGACCAGGGGCTCCTTGCCAAGCTCTGCCACATCAGCACCTTCGGCGTCAGCGAGGGCAGCTCCTCTTGGGGCCCCCAGAGCTCGCGGGGTGCCCAGCAAGGGGACAGGGACAGCAGGACCCCCGGGGAGGAGCGAGGGGCGGCAGAGCTGCCCGAGACCCTCGTGTCGGAAGCTGGCAGCTCCCCCCGCCCCTCACCCCCCTCCCCGCGCAGCCCCTTTGTGTCGGCGAGACAAAGCGCAGGCTGTGCCGGGGCCGGACAAGGGCGGATTGTGCTGGGACTGTCCCCGCGAGGAGCAGGAGGGACAAGGCGGCCGCGGCACACGGCCACGGTGGCGGCACAGCCCGGGGCACACGGTGGCGGCACAGCCCGTGGTTGTGGCACACAGCGGGGGCACAGCCGTGTCTCGGGGCTGAGCGGGCACCGGGGGTGGCAGGAGGCCCTGTGTGCCCAGGGCAGTGCGGGGGGGACACAGCACCCTGTCCCCCGTGCCCTGGCACCACCAACCCATGCCACCAACTGAGTTACCGGGTGACAGGCTCAGGGATGGGCATCGCCCCCCTCCCACCAGGAGGGCAGGGACAGAGACCCCCAACCCCCAGGGAAAGGGAAGTTCCTGCTGCTGGCACGCGGAGCGGCGGGACGCGGGCACGACACCAGCGGGACAGCCGCCCCGACACTGCCTCTGCCACATCCTGACCCCGCAGGGGACATCAGGCGCGCCTGGGGCCGGGAAATGGGCTCCTCGTCCCGCTCCAGGGCAGAGCAGATCCCCCCGCGGCGGACACGGGGGCAGCCCGCCCTGCCCGCTCCCGCCGCCCCGGCCCGCGCCGTGCCCGGCCCCGGCGGGTGACACCGTGCCGTGTCACCGTAAGGAGCGCGGCCCCCGCCCGCCCCACGCCCCCACCCACCAGGGCGCTGGTCCCGGCTGCAGAATTCCCCTCTGGCCTCCGCCTGCATGGTCCCGCCGTGCCACCGGCCGTGTCACCAGCAGTGTCACCAGCCGCACCGCCCGCTCGGGCCCGGGCTCACCGGCTGCCTGGCGGGAGCGGGGCCGGATCAGGGATCTCTCCCGCACGCCGTGTGCTGACTCACGGCAACCGCAGAGCCGGGCAGCCGCCGGTACCGGCACCCTCGGCACCGGGCACCCCGCGGCACCCGCGGCCCGCCCCGGTGGCACTGTCCCCGCACGGGCCCGGTGTCCCGCCGCTCCCCCGGTGCCACGGCCGGGGCTGCCCCGTGCTGGCGGGCCACACGCGGAGGGACGGGCGTGCGGGGCAGCCCCGGCACCTCCTCTGTGGCCAGGTGCAGCCCCCCCAGAGCTCCGGGCCCCCTCAGCTGCCCCAGCACAGCCACCCCTTGTCCCCGAGCCCCTGGGCACAGCGGCACCGCCACAGCCGAGCGGGATGGCTGCAAGGCACCCCACTGCTCCCCTGGGCACCCCGAGCTCCTGCGTGTCCTGTGAGCACCCTACCGCTCCTCTGCACCCCCGGGCACCCCACTGTCCCCCCACACTCCCTGGGCACCCCGTAGCGAGCCCAGGTGCCCGGTGCGCTGCCCTGTTCCATCTGACCGCCTGGCCACCCCCCTGTCACCGCACTGCACCCCAGCTCCTGGAGCATCCCCCTGCCCCCCGAGACCCCGGGCACTGCAGGGCTCCCTCAGCCCGCGGGACACCCCCGTGTCCCCCCACATTCTCTGAGTGCCCCGCTGCTCTCTCCCTCCGTCCCCGACTCTCCCTGCACAGACCCCCGCGCCCCCCGTGCAGCTCCTCCCGCCGCACCCCCGCCCTGCATCTCCTTGTCCGCCCCGTGGGGCCCGGCCCGGTTCCACGGCGATGGGCGTGCCGGTCCGAGCTCCCCGCTCTGCCCCCCGCCCTCACCTCCGGTGGCGACCGCTGCCGGAGCCGCCATGGGCCGGGCTCGGGGCTGATGCCGGTGCCGGTGCCGGTGCCGGTCCGGTGCTGGGCGGGCCCGGTGCCAGCCCGCAACCCGCACGGTCCTGCCCGCCGCGGCGGGGGCGGGGACACCGGGGGCGGGGACACCGGGATGGGCGGAGCCGAGGGGCGGGAGCACCGGGGGGACAAGAGAGGGCGCGGAGGGGACCGGGAAGGGGGGGGAGGGGGGCACTCGGGGACCGGGGCTGCAGCGGGGACCGGGGGGACGCGGGAGCAGAGCCCGGGGACGGCAGCTGTGGGGCCAGCCCGGGTCACAGCGGTGGGCGCGGGGTGGAGGAGTCTGGGCCGGGCACAGCGGGACCCCCGGATTTGTGCCCCCAGTCCTCCCCGAGCTCCCCCGCCCGCTCGGTTCCCCCCAAACCGCTCGGTTCCCCCGGTCACCCGTTCCCTCACACGGCCCCCCGGCGCTTCCTCCCCGTCCGGTCCCCGCGATGTCCCCCGGCTGCTCCCCGGTGTCCCCCCCGGTGTCCCCCGGTCCCTCTCGCTCCCCTCCCGGTCCCGCTGGCCCCGCCCTCGTTGCCAAGGCGGAGCGTGGCGTTGCTAGGGGGCGTGTCCTCACGCAGCGCCGCTCTCCCGAGATTTCACCATCATCTCGCGAGATTTGCCGTCCGTTGCTCGGAGACGCTGGTGCCGCCGCCATGGTGAGAGCGGAACCGGGCCCGGGCCGGTGCCGGGAGCAGAACCGGGGCAGGGGGGAGAACTGCGGGGGCAGCCGGGGTGTGCGGGCAGGGGAGGGCGGTGGAGCCCCGCGCCCCGATGTCTGCGAGCCCCGTGCTGTCCCGGTCCGCTCCCGGGGCGGGTGCGGAGCCCCGGGCGCCGGGCCCAGCGCCGCGCCGCTGCTGCTCGGGCGATGTTTCGGGTACAGCTGTTTTGTGCCCAGGGGCTCAGCACGGAGCTGGGCGGCAGTGGCTCGGTGTCGCCGCTGTCCCCGTCCGTGCCGTGAGAGCAGGGCCGCTCCGGGGCCGGCCCTGAGCAGCGCGGATTCCTCCTCCCCCCGTTCACCTCCTGTGCTTGGCTTTCTGTCCTCAGGCGCCCAAAAAGAAAGCAGGGAAAGGGGGCAAAGGCCCGGCGGTGGTGGATGCCTTGGCCCCGGAGGACATGAGCAGGGAGCAGGTGAGCGGGGAGGAGGGCTGGGAACGGGTGGGAATGGCTCTGGGGACCCTGCCTGGCGCCTGGCCAGCCCCGGGACAGCAGGTGCGGAGGGTGACAGCGCCGAGCAGCCGGGCTTTGTGTCACTGGCGCCTGCCCGGGGCCGGGCTGGGCTGGGCAGGGCGGCTCCTGCTGCTCTGGGAAGGAGCAGCCTCCTCATCCCACCCCCGGCTCGCCAGCCCGGTGTTCAGCCCGGTGTTCTGGGCACTGCTGAGGCCACACCTGGAATCTTGGGGCCGCTCAGGACAAGAAAGAGGAGCTGGGGCATGCCCAGAGAAGGGGATGGAGCTGGGGAAGAGTCCAGAGAACAAGGAGAGGCTGGGGGAGCTGGGAAGGAGCTCAGCCTGGAGAAAAGGAGGCTCAGGGGGGACCTTGTGGCTCTGCACAGCTCCTGACAGGAGGGGACAGCCGGGGGTCGGGCTGTGCTCCAGGAACAGGGACAGGAGCAGAGGGAACGGCCTCAGGCTGGGCCAGGCAAGGTTAAAGTTGGATATTGGGAAAATTTCTTCCTGGAAAGGATTGTCCAGCCCTGGCCCAGGCTGCCTAGGGCAGTGGTGTAGTCCCCATCCCTGGAGGGATTTAAGAGTCAAGTGGATGTGGCTCTTGGGGACATGGGTTAGGGGTGGCATTGGCAGTGCTGGAGGAACAGTTAAACTTGATTTTGGAGGCTTTTCCAGCCCAAACAATTCCATGAACCAGAAGTATCTGAGCACCTGAGTGTTGTGACAGGTAGAAGAATTATAAAAGAAAGGCCTCATTAAACCAGGCCTGCTCTGTTAAACTAATACTTATCCTGTCACATCTTCCAAGTGCAGCTAGTACTTGGCAAGTTCCCGTGCAAGAACAAACCTGGAATGAATAGTTTGCTAACATAACAACCTATTCCTGGGTGAAAAATAAGTGCACCTGCATAAACATTAGATCTGTTCCATGAGAACCCACAAAAGAAAAATATAAACAACCTGAACCTTAGCACGTACGCACAAATCACCTTCTGACCAATAAAGTGGTAAGAAAACTGCCAGCCTATAGATATTGCACACCAGGTCTGTGAAAACTGTACGAAATGAGTTATGTGAATAAAGCCTGGGCTTTTGCCACATGAAGGAAATGGAGCCTCGCTTGTTTTATTGCGATACCTGGGAATTACTGGTGTTACTGGTGTTACTGGACACTGGCAGCCATATCCCATCCCGCCATGAACCAGAAGTATCTGAGCACCTGAGTGTTGTGACAGGTAGAAGAATTATAAAAGAAAGGCCTCATTAAACCAGGCCTGCTCTGTTAAACTAATACTTATCCTGTCACATCTTCCAAGTGCAGCTAGTACTTGGCAAGTTCCCGTGCAAGAACAAACCTGGAATGAATAGTTTGCTAACATAACAACCTATTCCTGGGTGAAAAATAAGTGCACCTGCATAAACATTAGATCTGTTCCATGAGAACCCACGAAAGAAAAATGTAAACAACCTGAACCTTAGCACGTACACACAAATCACCTTCTGACCAATAAACAAAGTGGTAAGAAAACTGCCAGCCTATAGATATTGCACACCAGGTCTGTGAAAACTGTACAAAATGAGTTATGTGAATAAAGGCTGGGCTTTTGCCGCATGAAGGAAATGGAGCCTCGCTTGTTTTATTGCGATACCTGGGAATTACTGGTGTTACTGGACACTGCCAGCCATACCCCATCCCGGGCAGAGGTTTTGTGACTCCTGTTCCAGACACTGCTGGGTTAGCCAGGGACCTCCACAGCTCCACAGCCAGCACGTCCTGCCGGGTTTGGGACGTGGGCTCTCCAAAGCCCTGTCCAAGGCCTCCCTGCCCCTCACCTGTCTGTTCTCTTGGCTGCAGCTGCTGCAGCACGTGGTGCATCTGCGGGAGGAGATGGACCGGGAGCGGCAGGAGCGGAACTCTTTCCAGCTGGAGTGTAGCAGGATCCAGAGCTACTGGGAAATCACGCGCGGGGAGCTGGAGGAGAGGAAGGCCGAGCTGCGCGGCCGGGACCGCCAGATGGAGGAGGCGGAGGAGAGGCACCAGCTGGAGATCAAGGTGGGCTGAACTGAAGGGCTCCAGGTGAGCCCTGGGCAGCTCTGAGGAGGACGGGAGGAGCTGGGCAGGATGCCACCCAGGAATGTCTCACCAGCATCCCAGTTCCAGGTGTCTCCTGCTGAGCCCCTGACGCGCTCTCTGGGCTGTCCTCAGGTGTACAAGCAGAAGGTGAAGCACCTGCTGCACGAGCAGCAGGAGAGCCTGACAGAGCTGAAGGCAGAGGGAGTCCTGTCCCTGAAGCGGGCCCAGAAGGATCACTGGGAGCAGGAGCAGGAGCTGTGGAAAGAGAAGCGCTCCTTGAACGTAAGGCTGAACGAGCAGGAGCTGGCCAATGAGGCAGCCATCACAAACCTCTGCCTGGTACGTCCCTGGCTGGGCTGGAGCCACCTGTGAGCTGCCTCATCCCCAGCGTGGGAGCAGGAGTGGGATCTTGCCTCCTGACTCTCTGTGGGGTAGGATGGGATTTCTGGTGCAGGAATGGGGAGAAAGGATTCCTGGGTGACCCCCCTCCCACAGTGGGAGCTGTGAGAGCAGCAGGAGAACCTACAAGTCGCTGTTTGCACCAACATGGGATCAGAATCCTTTCCCAAAGAGCAGGAGGGAGTCCCTGAGGCTGGACTGGCTTGGGGTTTGGTTGTTTCTTCCAACACAGAGTTTCTTCCTCACAGAAACATGAGGAGGAGATGGCCTGGCTACGCAGTGACTTCGAGCTGCAGACCAAAGGTGAGGGCATGAGGCAGATCCCACAGGAGCATGACAGGGAGAGCTGCTTCTGGTTCCCAAGCAGCACTATGAGCTCATGGGGGCAGGTTCTCCCCAGTTCTGGCCATTTTTCCCTTCCCTGTTCTGGCCATTTTTTTCTCCCAGTTCTGGTCAGCTTCCCACCCCAGTTCTGGCTGATCTCCCCCACCAGAGGTTCTGGCCAGTTTTTCCCATAAGTTCCAGCTGCTTTCCCTCCCCAGATCAGTCTAGCTTGCCCTCCAGTTCTGGCTGTTTTTCCCTCCCAGTTCCAGCTGGTCCCAACCCACACGGTTTTGGCGAGTATTCCCTCAGTTCTGGCTGTTTTTTCTCCCTTCCCCATTCTGGTCACTTTTCCTCCCCAGTTTCAGCCAGTTTTTCCCCAGCTCTGACAATTTTCCCCCAGAGATGGAGGCCAAGTACACCAGGAAGATGCAGGCGCTGCGGGACGAGCTGGACCTGCGGAGGAAGACAGAGATCCATGAGCTGGAGGAGAGGAAGAACACCCAGATCAGCGAGCTGATGGGGAACCACGAGGGGGCTTTTGGTGCCATCAAGAACTACTACAACGATATCACTGCCAAAAACCTGACACTCATCAACCTCCTGAAGGTACTGCCTGTCCCTGTGCCACCCTCCACCCAGGTTCTGCTCCTGCCGGGTGTCAGCTGGGTCTGGCCGTTCCCAGGTGTCAGTGTGGCTGCTGCTGGTGGCCTGTACACCAGCACATGAGTGGGGAGGGTGTCCTGAGGGTGTCGGGGACTCTGAGGGGCTGGGCAGCTCCCAGGAGCCAGCACTTGTGTTCCCGAGAACAGGAGCAGGTGGAAGACCTGAAGAAGAAGGAGGCTGTCCTGGAAAAGGAGAAGGCAGATGTGCTGCGTGAGAACAAGGAGCTGACACAGCCCCTGCAGGAGGCCCAGGAGCTGGTGGCTGAGCTGCAGAGGAAACTGGTTAACTATTACAAGGACAAGGAGACCCTGATGGTGAGTGGCCAGCCCTGTCCTTTCATGGGCACGTTTCCAGAGGGAAAACACTGACCTCTGCCACTTGGTGTGCATTGCTGGGCAAAGCAAGTCCTGTCCTGCTTACTGTGTATTTGTGGGATCTCAGATGGGGATCCAAAGGGAGACTGGAAGGGAGACCAGCCCCACTGCAGGGCGGTTGGTGTGGGTGCTGTCTGCTGCTCACTCTCCTCCCTTCCCAGAACACATTTCCAACGCTTCCCAGATAATCCTCTGCTCTTTAATCCTCCCTTCCCATTCACAGAACTCCAAAGCCCATCTGAAAATCACCCAGAAGGAACTGAAGGACCTTCAGTGGGAGCACGAGGTGCTGGAGCAGCGGTTCAGTAAGGTGAGACCTGCAGGCAGAGCTGGGCATATCCCATCCCCTCTCCAAACCTTCTCCAAAGCCTCTGCAGAGCACAGGGCGTGGGGCTCAGCAGAGGCCGTGCTTAGCCCAGGGCTTTGCAAAGCTAATCCAGAGTCGGGTGATAACTGCTGCTCCCAGCAAAGCTGCTCCCAGCCCCAGCCTCTCCCACGGTCAGCAGACAGGCCTGGCCTTGTCCTTTGCTAAGCAGTCACGCAGGCTGCAGCGGGGCCCCGGGCTGCGTGGGGCAGAGCCAGGACAGGGGGCATTGCCACGGGCCCCTCCTTCTGCCCGTGTTCCAGGATCGCTCCCTCCCCTTCTGGGGTGCTCGGGAAGAGCCCTGCAGAGCGAGTGCTCCCCCCCCACTAACCCAGATAAATCTTATGAGGCAGGAGAGAGCTCATTTGCAATTCGTAGAAATCCCCAGGAATATGAACATTGATCCGAGGCCTCATTAACAATCCATCATTAAGACAGCGCCAGATTCAGAGCGCTCAGAAATAGGCTTTGGAGGAGAGACTGTGTCCTAATTAGGACACTTATTAACTAGCTGTGAGCCAGGGACTGCTGCCAGCTGTGGGGATGAGAGGAGAGACCCCCGTGTGCTGGGGGCCCTCGCTGGGGTCTGAATTAGTGCTGCGGGGAGCCCGTTGGGGCATTCCATGCCTGGAGGGGAGGAGGAGGAGGAGGGAGAAGCGCAGGTGCTGCACCACGGAGGGAGGGAGAGAGGGAGGGGAGAGGGGAGGGGGGGAAGCTGTGCTGCAGCACCTGCCTTCCCCGTGGGCTGCAGGTGCCGTGGGGAATGGCCGGGCTGAGCTGCTGGACCAGTTTTCTGCCATGTTTGTGCTCCACACCGTTGTGCAGACCCCAGCCAGCCTTGTGCAGACCCCCGTGTCCCCTGGGGTCCTGAGGGCGCTGTGACGCTGTGCTGCCTCCCGGAGCAGGTGCAGGAAGAGCGAGACGACCTCTATCAGAATTTCACCAGAGCCATTAACGAGGTGCAGCAAAAAACGGGGTTCAAGAACCTGCTCCTGGAGCGGAAGTTGCACGGACTGCTCAGCCTCCTGGAGCAGAAGGAGGTGGAGCTCGGCGAGGTCGCCGCAACCTCCAACCTCGACCCCAGCGCTCTCTCCTTGGTCTCGCACAAGCTGGAGGTACTGGGGCGCGGCGAGGGCTGGATGTGGGGGGCAGAGCCCACTGTGCTGCCCCTGGAAAGCACCATCCCCGTCCTACGTGGCCGTAGGTGGCACGTCACTCGTCACTCGTTCCCTGCGCTCCCGGGGCCACGCGCGGTGCCGCGGGGCGCTCGGCTCTGCCTCGAGAGCGGAGCGTGTGGGTGTTGGAGTTTGGCACTGATCTGTCCCTCAGGTGGGGCCTGTTTTGAGGAGCACGGCCGCAGGCTCCGTGGCACTGCCAGCATCCTGCCAGCTGACTGCCGGCGGGCCCAGTGGCACCCGGGGGCTCTGTGCAAGGGGGGCTGCACCTGGTGAGCCTCGCCTGGCCATGGGGACAGTGCAGACAGGATCCTGGGGCTCTGCGGTGTCTGCCGTGCTAAAAATACCTCTGCAGAGAGCCTGGAGACCCACATTCCTGCAGCCTGCCGCAGCTGGAGCCTGGGAGCAGCGCTTGCTGCTGCGGGTTGGGCACAGACACAGGGAACGAGGGCTCCACCACCTGGTGCCCTCCTGCTTGTCCCCACCCGGGCCCCTGCGGCAGGGGGAGTCAGGGAAGCTCTGGGATGCTTTGGGATGCATACCAGGCCTATGGGACAGGCAGCGGATGTGTCACCTCCCAGCAGGTGGAAGGAAAACACATTCCTGGGATGGCATCACTGGCGTCAGGCTCTCCTGCAGCTGCTGGGGTCCCTGAATTCCTGCTCTCAGCTGCCTCGGGGAGCCTGGCTCCCTGTAATTCCCGCGGTGCCGCGGCAGCAGGGTGGTGCTGCTGGAGCAGGTGCTGCCAGCACTCCCCACGCAGCAGGGCAGACTGGGATGGCTGTGGTGTTCATCTGGGAGCTGCCTGTCCCTGCCCGGGGCTGGCTGTCCCTGGCAGTGCCACTCAGAGGGGGCAGGGTGGTGGCCACCTGCCAGGCCGTGCAGGCAGCTCCTCCGTGTGCTGTGCCACGGCCAGCGTGTCCCCAGGGCCGGGCAGAGCAGCCTCATCCCAATCTCCCCTTGCAGGACATGTTAAATTCCAAGAATGCCACCATCCAGGACCTGCAGCTCCAGCTGGCCAGAGTCTGCAAGGTAAGGGCGGGGAGGAATCCTGGAGAGGTTTAAGAGCCGTGTGGATGTGGCACTTGGGGATGTGGGTTAGTGCTGGCTTTGGCACTGTTGGGGGAACAGTTGGACTCGGTGATCTTAGAGGCATTTCCAACCCAAACGATTCTGTGCTTCCATGGCTTTGGCTTGGGGGTTGGAAATGAGCTGGGGGTGCAGGGAGCTCTCCTCTGCAGACAGAGGGGCTGACAGGGACCCTTTCCTCACAGGCACACAACGACATGCTGCAGACCTTCGAGGCAAAGCTGACAGCCTTTGGCATTCCCCTGGACAACCTGGGTTTCCAGCCACTGTCCTTCCCCTTCCCGGGGCAGGAACTGGGGCAGGGCCCTGCTGGACTCGTTTCAGTGCCCACCTGATGCTGGCAGCACTGAGGGTCCCACTGGCACACTGGTAGTGGAGCTGTGCCCTTTAGTGTCTTTAAATAGACCCCAGTGAGCATCTTCAGGAACCTCTCCTCCCAAGGGGGACCACAGCTGCAGAGCTCCAGGCATCCCACCCACGCTACCAGGCTGCCCTTGGGGCTACCTCTGTTCCCACAAAAGTGAAGGCGATTTTTTGAGACAAACAGTGCTGTTGGGAGTTTTTAATGGCCTCGGTGGCGTCATTCCTGCGTCCCCAGGAGAGGGCTGTGCCCCTCTAACTGCCCCGGTACGTTGTGTAGGAGTAGGGGCTGATCAGCAGCGGGACGTGGAGCTTCCGTGCCGGGTCAGTGATGACGAAGACGACCTGAGGGAGAGTGGGGAGACAGCAGTGGGAATCCCCCTCCCACAATGAGGCCCAGGGGCGTGCAGCCCCTTGAGGCTGGCCCCAGCCCTCGGACATGTCACCTGTCCCAGTCTCCCCACACTCCATACCTCCACAAAGGGGTAGAAGCTGGTGTGCCCCAGTCCCTGCCAGTACTCAGCTGTCTCAAAGTGCAGCTTGTAGGTGCCAGCCTTGGCCTGTCCCGGTGCCAGGAGGGGCTGGCAGCGCCCGTCCGCATCCGTGTGCCTGAAACCAGACCAAAGCAGTCCTGCTGTACCCCAAAACACAGCCCTGCCCCACCCCCAGAACCTGCCCTGGCCATACCCCCAGCACCAGCCCTGCCACCAGCAAACAAACCCCAGGTGAAGGCTGGGCAGCCAGTTGTGCCAGGAGCCTTTGGCCAAGCTCACGGAGCCCTGGCAGCAGTGTCCCTGCCCCACTCTGGTGCCACCAGCTCTCCTACCTGTGTGCCAGCTCCGTCCACTGCAGCCCCGGCTCCTGCAGCTGGGCCAGGCGGATGACAAGGCCGGCTGCCGGCAGCCCCGTGGCCGTGTTCAGCACGTGGGTGGTCAGGGTGCCCTTTCCCACCTCAGACATGCCGTCAGCCTGTGGCAGAGGGGGGAGCAGGGCTGGGACCTGTCCTGGCAGCACCATCTGCCACCTTCTTGTGCTGCAGCCAAACCCCTGCGCTTCACTCTTCCCCAGAGCTGGGATGTGGAAACCCACGTCCTTCCCATGCCGCAGTGCTCAGCCCCAGGCACCACGTGGGTGCCAGCTGGTTCCCACCAGGATCCAGGGCTCTGGCTCACGGCAGCACCGTGCTCCCTGCTCACCTGCCTGTCCTGGTGGGCCTCGGCACAGCACAGCAGCCAGCCTGGACCCGACGAGGAAGCAGCCCCGTCCCAGCCGCCCGTCCCTGCCCACGGCGTCACGTGTGGGTGGACATTGACCCTGCCCAGCTCTCTGGAGCTGTCTGGCCTCAAGGTCGGCACTGCTGAGGGCAGCCAGGCCCCTTCTTCTCCCGGAGCTCCCAGGGGTGGGGGCACGATGTGGGGCTGCGTCCCAGCAGCCGGCAGGACCAGGCAGCCTCCCTGGAGTGGGACCAGCTCCCGCTGCCAGCCCGACAGCAGCACCCTGGTGAGCTTACCTGGCTGTCCTCTGTCCCACTCGGCCAGGGACCTGTGGCCGGTGACCCCACGCAAAACGCCATCCCCGGCCTCCCTTGCTGGCGCCACGGCTTCTCCCCGTGGAGCTGGCGTGGCTGGATGCCGCTATCCTGGCACGGGGCTCCCGCAGAACCGGGTGCTCCTCCCTGGCTGGGCTGAGCTGGCACGGGCAGCTTCCCAGGAGCCCCGCTGGCACCCACACTCCAGCAGCGCCGTGGCCCTGAGGCTAGTGGCCCAGAGCCTGGTGGGAAGCTGGGACACCGGGCCGGGAGGAGCCACAGCACAGCTCCCATCCCAGTCTCGCCTCCCACCATGGAAAGCACCTGGAGCGCATCGGTGCTGCCGCAGCCGGGCACGTGGGGCTGTCAGGAGCCAGCACCGGCCTCACCACAGCCTTGCCCTGGCCCTCTGCACCGCCAGGGCACCGGAGGCTCAGCGTCTCACCTGAACCCTGATCCGGGCGGTGGCGGTGGCTCGCAGCCCGTATCCCCCCAGGTCAGCAGCCTGGATCTCCAGTGTGTATTCAGGGACCGCCTGTGGCAAGGGGCTGTGTCACCCACAAGTGGGGGGTGAGCTCGGTGGGGGCTCATTCTGGGGCTCACCTCTGCCTTCAGCCCTGCCATGGCCACGGAGACCAACCCAGAGCTGCTGTTGATGGTGAACATCCCAGGCTGGGGCTCCTCCGGCGCCTGGCTCAGGATGGAATAGCTGACAACGCCATTGCTGGAGTTCACGGCGTCATCTGCATCAGCGGCCAGCACCCGCAGCACCGATGTGCCTGGAGCAGGTGGTCACTGCTGACCTGTCACACATCCCTCCAGTGCTGCCTGCCAGGCGTGGCAGTGGTCCCACCTGGCTCAGCTCCCTCCAGCACAGAGCCGTGGAAAACTGCCTGGGTGAAGACGGGCCGGTTGTCGTTCTGGTCAGTGACGGTGATGATGATCTCCATGGGGTCTTCCACGGGCTGCCCGTTGGCCGACACGGCGTGGGAGTAGAGCTGCAAGGGCACAGTCAGTGTGTGTGCAGTGCCCAGGACTGCCCCTGTCCCGCCACAGATGTCCCCTCACTCACCACGTATTTGTCCTTCTCCTCCCGGTCCAGGGGTTTTGTCACCTCCAGCCACCCCGTCTCCCGCTCGATGATGAAGACACCCACGGGGATGGTATCCGCTCCCTGCCCCGTGATGCTGTAGAAAACCTTGGTCTCCTTGTCCTTGTTGGATTTGATCTGGCAGAGAGGGAGGAATAAGCTGGTTGAGACATATCCCAGCCCTCTGGGGACGCCCCTGGACCCTGCCTGGTCCCTGTGGGGACACCCACCTGGACCAGCTTCTTGGGGAAGGGTCCCGGCTCATTCTCAGGGCAGTTGATAGGGGGGATGACCCAGTCCCTCTTCTGCCGCCGGAGGCCGTGTCCATGCTCCGGGAAGATCAGCACGTCCTGTGGGATGGAGAGTGGGGCTGCAGGGCCAGGGAGGGACACGGCTCTGCCCGGAACCTCCCGGGGGATGGCCGTGCAGCACCCCCGGCCCCACTGCCATGGTTCCACCAGCAGGAGGAGGAGGAGTGTGAAGCTGTAGGGTGCCATGGCTGCAGCTGCACCGGCTGTTCCCCACAGGTGCCTGCTGGGAACCTGCCCTGTTGCGTCAGTGACCTTGGCCAGGAAAGCTGAACCGGCTTTCCAGAGCTGCCAGCCCCGGGGGGGTCTGGGGGCGCCGTGTGGGGGGACCCAGCACACGAGATGCTGCTCCAGGCTGGGGGGATGGAGTCCAGGGCTGTCCCTCGGTGGCCATGGAAACCCCCGCTGCCGTGGGGCTGGGGGGCACACACAGCCCCCCCGAGAGTTCCAGTGCACCCATGGGCGGCACCGAGGAATGGGGAGGGGGCTGTTCCTGCTGGGGCGGTGGCGGGAGGCGCCGTGGGAGCACCGGGAGGGACGGGTGGCGGTACCAGAAGGTGCCTGGAGATACTGGGATGCCCGGGCGTGTCCACCGGGCTGCGCTGAGGGACCGGGGGCACCGGGGGGCGGCACTGAGAAACCGAGGAATGCCAGGGGGGTTCCAAGGCGATGCCGATGGGTACAGACCGGGGAGGTGCCCGACGGGCAACTGGGGGTGTGCAGGAGGTATCGCGGATTGCCCAGAATTGCCAGGGCGTTCCAAGAGGCTACCAGGCGGTGCCCCAGGGTTCCAGGGAGGTATTGCGGATTGACAGGAGGATCTCAGAGGGGTGCCGGCTGTGCCCGGGGGGTATTGAAGCTTCCAGTACCGGCCGGTGCCCGAGGGGTACCGGGCTGTGCCTGGATCTTGTCGGGTAGGTGCCTGGGAAGTAACATGGGGTGCCGGGGATTGCCGTGGGGTGCCAGGGGAATACGGGGGGTGCCCGGGCGGTATCGGGGTGTTGTATCGGGGATTGCCGGGGGTGCTGTAGGGGGTAAACCCCCGCTAGGAGGGTCCCGGGGGTAATGAGGGGTCCAAGGCACTGCCGGGGGATGCCTGGGGCGTGCTGGGGCCGCTCTCCGGGGCGGGGCGGTACCTGCGCGGCCGCCGCCTCACCTGGGGCGTTGCGGGGCGGGACGGGGCGGGGGCGGCGGCGGCGGCGGCAGCAACGGACGGGCCATGCGGGGGCCGCGCTCCGGGCTCTGCCCGCTCTCCATCTTCATCCTCCTCCTCCTCTCCCCGCTCCTGCCGGCAGCCGCCCTCTCCCCGGCCCCGCCGTGCGTTCTCCCGGGGCTGCGCCGCGGGCCGCTCCCCGCTCCAGGTAACTCGCACCGTCGGGGCGCGGCGGCCCCGGGACCCCCGGAACGCCTCGGGAACGGGCTGGGGCCGCGATCGGGACCGGGATCGGGGCTCCGAGCAATGTGGGGGGCGGCAGGGCCTCCCTCACTGCCGGGATCAGGATCGCTTTGCCTCCGCTGGTGGGGCCGCTGCTTTTCGGGAGGAGCTCGCGGTGCCCGGCTGTGGGGCTGGCGGGGGTCCCCGGGTGAGGGGCTGCGCCATGGGGCTGGCTGCGCTCCTGTGCGCTAGGGCTGTGTCCCCCCGGGCTGTGGGGCTCGGCCATGGGGCTGGCTGTGCCCCGCGGGGCTGGCTGTGCCCGTCTGGTCTCGCCGGGCTGGTGGCGGCTGATGCCAGCGCCTTCGGCCCAGCCGTGGGGCGCCCGCTGCGAGCAGGGCTGGCTCCCCGCAGGGTGGGTGGCCGGCGCCGGGCTGGCAGCGGGGCTGGGTGCCCCGGGGCCACCCTTCTCCGGCCGTGCGGTGCGGGCCCCGGCTGGCCCGAGGCTGGGCAGGGTCTTGCTGCTGCCAGCTCTTGGCCCGCTGCCGGCGCTTGGCCCGGGCCCGCTGCCCTCTTCGCTCGGGAGCTCCCGGGAGATTGGGGCTGCCCGGGAACGCGGCCGCAGCCAGCGCTCGTCTAATGGCCGCGGGAGCACTAAAAGCTCTCCTTGGCGGTAAGTGCCAGGGAGGGGCCTCGACCTCTGTCTGCTGTGGACACCACATCCCGTTTCACATCCCTTTTCCATCAGCTAAGCCTGCCCGGAATGGAGGTGGGCGCTGCCAGGCCCCTGCTGTGGGCACAGGCGGGGGTCTGGCCACGCCACTGCGACCCCCTCCGTGGGCAGCACATGGCCCCGGCACCCAGCGGGCACGGTGCCCTGTGAGCCCTCCATGGAGGGACCCCGAAGACATGGTGGGGTACCCCCTGTGCCGCCTGCCCCTTCGGAGGGAGCAACCACCCGCGCCACAGCTGGGGAGCGGGGCTGGGGGCTCCCCACGGCGGGGGTTGGGGGCTGTCCCGGGCTCCTCGTGTCCTGCTTGGGGTGACCGATCCCCCTCCAGCCCCATTAAAGTCCTTTATCGAGGCCATCGCGACCGGGAGGGGCCCCGGTGCTGCCCTCGGGGCACGGTTGCTGCTCCCCACACGGCCCCGCCGTCGCCCTCGGGCTCGGTCCCTCCGGTGCGGAGCAGCCGTGGGGCACGGCTCTCCCTGCCCCACTCCACGCCTTCCGCAGCCCCCCCAGCCCCGCCCGGGGCCGCTCGGCCGCCCGGAGCTGGCTCAGCTCCGCTAATCCCCTAATCCTTCCCCCGGGGGGTGCGGAGCCGGGGCTGTGTCCAGCACGAGGGATGCAGCGTGGGAGGCGGGGGAGGGAGATTCAGTGCCCAATGATCTGGCCGCGGGGGGTTGGGAGCCCCGAGGGGGTGACACACCGGGAGGGGGCTGGGGCAGGGCTCTGCCCGCCCAGGAATTTCCCATCATCTGTGAGACAAAGCCGAAACTTCCACCGAAACTTCCACAGCGCTCCCGTACGGCGCCCGGTGTCCCCTGCCTCACTCCGCCTCGGGGCTCCGGGGGATTGCAGGGTCCCGGAGATGGTGGTTGCGGCTCGGGGGTGTCGGGGGAGAGGTCCCCCCATCCCCCTGACCCCTCACCCTCGCAGGTAGCTCCGGAGGCTGCGCGGGGGCGTACAGGACGGAGGAGCCCGATGTCGGGGTGCGGGAGGACGGGGGCCCCGTGCGGCTAGCGGGGGTGGGCAGGGCGCTCGCCGTACCCCCCCGAGATGCTGGTTCTCCCCGGAGTGCCGCTGGCCAGCCAGACCCTGCCCCAGTTGCCGCAGAGAGCAGGCGCTCACCGCAGGTAACGCTGCCCCGCGTGTCCCCCACCCCTGCTGCCCCAGCCGGCTGTGTCCTCACTCACCCCCATCCCACAGGAGCTGCCCAGGGCTCGCGCTGCTCTCAGGAGGCAGAAGAGGGACTGGGTGATCCCCCCCATCAAGGTTCCTGAGAATGAGAGGGGCCCCTTCCCCAAAAAGCTGGTTCAGGTATGACCCTGGTCAGTCTGGGCTGGGGCTTTGGGCACGGAGGTGGGTGCTGGGGGATGCTGACCCCATCCCCTTGGTCTGTGTCTCCTCCCAGATCAAATCCAACCGGGACAGAGACACCAAGATCTTCTACAGCATCACAGGGCAGGGAGCAGATGCCCCCCCCGAGGGCATCTTCACCATTGAGAAGGAGTCGGGCTGGATGAAAGTGACGCAGCCGCTGGACCGCGAGCACATCGACAAGTACCACGTAGGTCCTTGCCTGGGGACACCAGGGGGATGTTGGGGTGCTCTGCCAGGCCCCCCACTCACACCCCACCCCGCAGCTCTTCTCCCACGCTGTGTCCGAGAACGGGAAGCCAGTGGAGGAGCCGATGGAGATCATCGTGACGGTGACAGACCAGAATGACAACAAGCCCCAGTTCACGCAGGAGGTGTTCAGGGGCTCTGTGCCAGAGGGAGCTCTGCCAGGTAGGACCCCGTGCCTTGGGGAAGCTCTGCATCCCAGCAGCCGTGTTCCTGGGGCACAGCCGGGGCACTGAGCCCCCCAGCATCCCCACTTACCTGCACATCCACATCCCCAGGCACCTCCATCATGCAGGTGACAGCCACGGATGCGGACGATGCAGTGGAGACCTACAATGGTGTCATCGCCTACTCCATCCTCAGCCAGGAGCCACGGGAGCCCCATCCCCAGATGTTCACTGTCAACCGGGCCACTGGCACCCTCAGCGTGATTGCCAGCGGCCTCGACCGGGAGGTGGGCTCTGCAGCACCGTGGGGCAGGGGTCCCAGCCCCAAGCAGGGGCTGACACAGTGTCTGTCCGTCTGTCCACCACAGCGTGTGCGGGAATACACACTGACCGTGCAGGCAGCTGACCTGGATGGGGACGGACTGACCACCACAGCGCTGGCCGTCATCGAGATCGCCGATGTCAATGACAACGCCCCCGAGTTTGACCCCAAAATGGTAATGTGTGCCCCCCTGCTGGGTGTGACTCTCCCTGGTGCCCGCTGGGCCGTGGTGCTGATGGTGCCCCTGACCCACAGTACGAGGCGGCCGTGCCGGAGAACGTGGCCGGGCGGGAGGTGGCCCGGCTGGCTGTCACCGACCTGGACGAGCCCGGCACGCCGGCGTGGCGAGCTGTCTACTCCATCCTGCGTGGCAATGACGGGGGTGCCTTTGCCATCACCACCGACCCTGCCACCAACGAGGGCATCCTCCGCACCGCCAAGGTCTGTGCCACCCCGTGCCACCCCATTGCTGCCCAGGGGGAGTCCTGCCTGTCCCACTCTCACTGCCCGTGTCTCCCCCTCTCCCAGGGTCTGGACTATGAGGCCAAGCAGCAGTTCGTGCTCCACGTGGCCGTGGCCAACGAGGTCCCCTTCGTCGTGAAGCTGCCGATGGCCACTGCGACGGTGACGGTCACTGTGGAGGATGTCAATGAGGCCCCGGTGTTCGTGCCGCAGGTGCAGCTGGCCACGGTGTCAGAGGATGTGCCCCCGGGGCAGACCCTCACAGCCTGCACGGCCCAGGACCCTGACAAGGCGCAGGACCAGAGGATCAAGTGAGCGGGGACAGGGTTGGAGTGGAGGTTTGGGGGGGTCTCTGCTGCCCCTCGCCACAGCACCAGCTCCCCTGTGCCCCCCAGGTATGTGGTGGGGCATGACCCAGCCGGCTGGCTGGCCGTGCACCCCGAGAATGGCCTGGTGACCGCGCGGGACCACCTGGACCGCGAGTCCCCCTTCGTCAAGAACAGCACCTACATGGCTGTGCTGCTGGCCGTGGATGATGGTGAGGGACATGAAAGGGCCCTTGTTCCCCCTCCCGCGTGAGGAGCACGTGCTGCCATCACCAGGAAACACACCCCAGCTCCAGCATGGAGCAGTGTGGGGGCTGCCTGGCCCCACCCCTGCCCAGGGCACCTCAGCCCCTGAGGTTCCTGGGTTTGGGACTGCTCTCTGCAGCATCACTACTCACTGTTCCCAGCCTTGCCCAGACGGCGGCGGCGAGGAGGACGATTAGGGACCCCCAGCCCGCTGCTGTCCCTGCCTTATTGCTGCTTTCGTGCCTTGGGGGTTCCCCCTGCCGTGCCCCCCACCCCAGCGCGGCCCCCTCGCCTCCTCGCCTGCGTTTTTGTGGTTATTATCTATTTTTTAAGGTATGGAATGATGGCGTGTGATGCTGCGGACAAGGGGAAGGGAGCTGGGTCAGTTTTAATAAAGGATTTGGTTTTTTTAGATGTTCCAGGCTCTGTGTCACTTTGTGCCCTGGAGACTGGCGCTGGCCCCAGCCCTGCAGTGACCCCTCCCCAGCCCTGTCCCCCCTTGCCCAGCACAGTGTGGAACCTGTGGCACAGCAGCAGTGCCACCCATGCAGGGGCAGTTCTCATGTCCCCCATAGGGCACTGACCACCAGTCTGTCCTTCATGGGAGTGACACTGGTGGCATTGGGCATTCCTGGTGCTAAATCCCTCCTGGCCCGGGCTGCCAGAGTCTGCTGCCACCCCAGCCCCCTGAGATGACCATGAGTGCTAGCATGGGTTGGCACAGCAGCCTCTGGCCCTGGCAGCACCCCACGTTCTGGGGGTCTCCCACTGGCTCCAGGATCAGCTCCTGACACATGGGATGGGGGCAGATGATGGTACTGGGGGTCCCTGGGGTCCCCTTCCCTAGGGTGCCCTTCCCCAGCTGTGCTGTGCTTTGGGACAGAAGGGTATAGGGGAAGCCGGGGGCTGCAGCATCCTGAGGGGCTCTTCCCACTCGAGGGGTCCCTGGTGTGACGTTTGTCCCCTGCTGCAGAGCTGGGATCTGGTGCCGTGGTGTGGGGGCACCCTGGGGTGCTCCTGGCTCCTGTCGCCCAACAACACCCCCTGCTGCCACTGCCCTGGATAGGAGAGGCACGGAAAGCACGAGGGCTGTGCGGCTGGGGCTGGGAATATCAGAGGCACGGGGAGCCGGGGGGACCCGGGACGGGCAGAGCACCAGGGGTGTTGAGAGTACCGGGGGCTGGCGGAGCACTGGGGGTACCACGGTACCGGGGACCGTGGGAGAAGTACCGCACCCGTACCGTGGGGGGTTCCGGGATACCGGGCGTCGGAGGTACCGGGAATACCGGGGTTCCGGGTGCGGGCGGGGAGGGCCCGCCTCCCGTCGGGGCGGGACGGGGCGGTTCTCGGCGGGGTCGACACCTGCGAGGAGGGATCGGGAGGGGACCGGACGCACCTGCGACTTCGTGGCGGCAGCGCCCGATCCCTCCGGCACCAACCGGCACCGGCAGCGGCTCCGGCCATGGGGCGGCGGGCGGGCTGCTCGGTCCCGCTCTGCCTCCTCGTGCTCCTGCTCCAGGTGAGCCACGGAACGGGGCGGCAGGACCCCGCCGAGACCCTGCCCGGGGCGGCGGGACCTCGCTCGGGACCCTGCCCGGTGCTAACGTCTCTGTCCGGGCAGAGCGGGCAGCGGCTGTGCCAGCGGGCAGCGTCGTGCCAGCCCGGCTTCGCCGCCGAGACCTTCGCCCTGACGGCGCCGCGGGACAGCGTGGCGGCGGGACGGGCACTGGGACGGGGTAAGGACACGGGGACAAGCGGCTGTGGGGGACAGGGTGGCTGTGAGGATGGGGACGGGCCTACGGGTACAGGGTGTGTGGGACAGGGGTGGGCAGTGGGGGGTATAAAGCCGTGGCTCCGTGCCCGAGAGGTGCTGGCGTGGCCGCGGGGATGGGGCCGTGGGGACAGCGCTGTGGCAGCGGGGGTGGCACTATGGCGGTGGGGACAGGCTTGCTGTGGCGGCGGGTGGCACGGGGGACAGAGCCTGGTGTGTCCACACGCAGCGGTGGGGCAGCGCTGCTGGTCCCAGCGCGAGCAGCAGCCGGGGGTGCTGGACCGGGGGCCGGTCCCGGCGCGGGGGCAGCGGCAGCCGCTCCCCGGGGTGCGCCGGCGCGGGCGGCGCTGACTCAGGCACCGCAGACCTGTCGGGGCCGGCAGGCTGGGGTGTGGGGCACGCAGGCGCCTGCCCTGCCCCGTGCCTCACCTGGCACCCCGGGTTCACCAGGGTGAGCCCCCTTTGGACCCAGTGTGTAGGGCCCCAGAGCAGCTCTTGGCATGGGGATGGGCACCAGGATGGGCTCCTGGGATTTTGGGGACGTCGGTGTCCCACGATGTTGGCACTAAAGCCCAGTTCTGGCGTGGCAAGGGGGCACTGGGGACCCATGTGCTGGGGACCTGCTGCCACTTTGGGGTCCCCAAAAGGGACTCCGTGGGCTCTGGGGCTGTGTGCTGTGGCTGTCACCATCTGCACCAGTTCATGGCTGAGAGCGGTGCTGGCGCCCCAGTGTGTGTGCAAGGGTGGGCACAGGGCCGAGGGGTACTGAGCACCCAGTGCAGCACCAAGGCTCCCAAACATCCTCGGCTCTGTAACGGCTTCGCCTGGGAGAGCCAGGAATCGGACCCTGCCCCATATCCCAGAAATTGTGTTTGTTTGCCTTGTGGTTGATCATTAACGCGCACAAACCGATGTCCATCAGGGCTGGGCCTGATACCAGGGTGACGGGCAGGCCTGTGACTTTCCTGCAGCACTGAGACCTGCTGGAAATCCTCTGTTCTGGCACCAGCACTTTCAGTTTTGGGTTCCGGGCACAGTCAGGGCGTGGGAGGAAGGAAGGGACCATCTGCCCTTGAGGCGTGTGTGGCACCCAGTGATTCACAGCTGTGCCACGGCAATGCCAGCCATGGGGTGGCCGATGCCAGGTGGATGCCAGGCCATGCTGGGCCACAGAGCACCCCAAAGCTTGTGGCGAGGCTGAGGAGCCGGCCTGTAATTAGCTTGATGAGTTGAGCGCGGTGTTTTCCCTCCAACAAGCCCAGACAGGCCCCGCGCGGCACCGGGACGGCGAACAACAACACCTGCGTGGGGGCTGCGGCATGGCCAGGGCTCTGTCCGTGGGTCGGGGGGCTCTGGGGTGGGGGGGACGTGGTGGGGGCTGGGACAGTGCCCGTCAGTCCTGGGTGGAGAAACCTCGAGAGTCTGAAGTCACAGCGAAACTGGGGTGACGTCAGTGGGATGTGTCACCCGTGGCACCTTCACCCCGGGGAGAGCCCCCTGCCCTGGCACAGCTGCAGCACACGGGGTGGTGGCACTGCAGGGATGGGGACACCCTGCTCTGCCTGTGCCCAGCTCCACTGAGACCTCACAGGACATGAGGTGGCTTTGGGGGGCTGCCCTGATCCCCTGTGTGGGGTCTCAGCCCCACACCCTTTTTGGTTGTACCAGTCTGGTTGTCCCAGTGTCCTGCAGGTGGTGGTGGTGGGGGGCTGAAGTGGGGCATCCCCCTTGTAGGACTCTCTGAGCTCTCTTTTTCTCCCACCCCCATCATTCCAAGGAGAGGCCCCCCCGCTCCATCCCCCAGCTCCCAGCCCCGGGGAGAGGAGGGCTGGGGCCAGCCCTCCTTCAGCCAAGCTGGAAAAACAGGTTGTGCACAGCCAGGTGGGAAGGGGGGGAGTTGGAAAGGGGGAGAGCGGGAAGGGGGGGGCGGGTTCTGAGCACCGTTCCCGAACCCCGTGCGGGCTGAGCACCGAGCGCTCACGGCACCAGCGTGGGGCTGGGGGCGCCGTGCCGCCCCTCGCTGCACCCCCGGGCCCCGGGCCAGGGCCGAGCGCTGCGGCTGCGCCCGCGGCTGCCTCTCCTTCCCCGCCTGCCCCGGCACGTTCCTGCCCAGCCGGCCCCACCGGCTCCGCCAGCCCGGCCGGGGGTCCCGCCGCGGGGCTGAGCAGGGCTGGCATCGCGCCGGCGGCTCCTCCTGGCCGTGTCGGGGGCACCACGGTGGGCAGGGAGCAGCGATTGCTCCCCCCTCCATCCCACAGGCACCCCGGATTCCTGGGCTGCTCGTGGGCTGACGTAACCCCCGGCCCCGTTCCATTCCATTCCGTTCCGTTCCGTTCGGCGCTGCCTCCCGCCCGCCTGGCACGGCCGCTTGCCGAGGCGCGGGTCACGCCGGGGCGATGGTGGCAGCGCTGGCTGCGGAGCCTGGGGGCCGCTGGCTCCAGCATCTCTCTCCCAGACAAAGGGGGTTTGTTCGGGAGCGCGGCCCCGCTCATGTGATGCCCGCTGACCGCTGCCTCGTGGCGGCCCAGCTCTGCTGCGCCCAGCCGGTGCCCAGCGAGTGACACCGGACCCCCGCCTGCCCGCTGGCCCTGGGGTTGGGGGTCCCGGAGGTCCCTGGGCAGGTTGAGGGGCCTGGCTGCCAGGGCACTGGGTGCCAGTGTCAGTGGATGACTGCTGCCCTTGTTTTTATTGGAAAAGCAGCTGGAGAAGCATGGGGACAGTGGTGCTGACATGCCATGCTTGGGGACATGCTGTGCCACAGGGAAACACCCATCTGGGGATGTGCCATGCCACACAAGGTGCTGGGGACTGGGACATGCTGTGCCACAGGGAAACACCCATCCCCCCACATGGGGATGTGCCATGCCATACATGGTGCTGGGGACTGGGACATGCTGTGCCAGGTGCCACTTGCCCCACTGTCAGTGTCTGGCAGGGATTCTGTGGCACGGTAGTCCTGCCATGTCCCATCCTGGACCAAAGCCAGGGCAGGGATGCACCATGTGTTGTGCCCGGGATGGAATCCTGGCAGGGCGGCTGTCACTGTGTGTGGAGCATCCCCACCACTGCTGTGACCCCACACCCTAGGAGTGGGGCTGTGCTGTGTGTGCCCATGTCCCCAGAACCCTCTGCCACTCCGTCCCCTGTCCCCAGTGAGCTTTCAGGACTGTGGCGAGTCGCGCCGTGCCGCCTTCCTCCCGGATGACACGCGCTTCAAGGTGAGCAGGGATGGCATTGTCTCTGCCACCCGGCCCCTGCAGCTCCAGCAGCGGGACATCACCTTCGCTGTGCACACCTGGGACACCACGGGCAAGAAGCATTCGGCCAAGGTGACCCTGCGCCCCCGGCGGCAGCAGCACCGGCACCACGAGCGCATGCAGCAGGTAAAGCACAGAGCCACTCCCTGGGGTCACAGCAGTCCTGTCCCTGCTGCAGAGGGCTCAGCAAGGTGCTGGCACTGACAGAGCCACTGTCCCAACAGGGCACAGTGCCGGACGTGCTGATCTTCCCGGAGCATGGACACGGCCTCCGGCGGCAGAAGAGGGACTGGGTCATCCCCCCTATCAACTGCCCTGAGAATGAGCCGGGACCCTTCCCCAAGAAGCTGGTCCAGGTGGGTGTCCCCACAGGGACCAGGCAGGGTCCAGGGGCGTCCCCAGAGGGCTGGGATATGTCCCCACTGGCTTATTCCTCCCTCTCTGCCAGATCAAATCCAACAAGGACAAGGAGACCAAGGTTTTCTACAGCATCACGGGGCAGGGAGCGGATACCATCCCCGTGGGTGTCTTCATCATCGAGCGGGAGACGGGGTGGCTGGAGGTGACAAAACCCCTGGACCGGGAGGAGAAGGACAAATACGTGGTGAGTGAGGGGACATCTGTGGCGGGACAGGGGCAGTCCTGGGCACTGCACACACACTGACTGTGCCCTTGCAGCTCTACTCCCACGCCGTGTCGGCCAACGGGCAGCCCGTGGAAGACCCCATGGAGATCATCATCACCGTCACTGACCAGAACGACAACCGGCCCGTCTTCACCCAGCAAGTCTTCGTCGGCTACATTGAGGAGAACGCAAAGCCAGGTACGCGGGGGACTCTGAGCCGGGACCACGCAGACCCTGAGCACGAGCAGTGCCAGGTGTCCGGTGGATTCTGTCCCACCACTAAAGTCTCCCTGGCTTGTCCCCATGTCCAGGCACATCTGTGATGACCGTGAACGCTACGGATGCAGATGATGCGATCAATGTGAACAACGGCATCATCGGCTACTCCATCCTCAGCGAGGAGCCCAAGGGTGCCCAGCGCATGTTCACCATCAATGCCGAGAAGGGCATCATCAGTGTCATTGGCACAGGACTGGATCGGGAGGTGGGCACCTTGCCACCGCCCAAGGGAACCTGTGGCTACTCCACAGTGGGATGTGCCATGGGGAGAAGGGGATACTGCAGCCCTGGGGTCCATCTGGTTTTGGGATGTGGCATCCTGGAGTCACTGTCCCTGGCTGTAGGGGTGTCTACAGCCTTAAGCCCACCAGGAGCCATGCTGGGGACACTCAAAGAACTTTGCTGAGCCCTGGAGTGGGTACAGTGCCAGCCCCCCTTGGGTGGGCAGTTGGGACATCGGCTGCCTGTGTGCCAGCAGGAGACAGCGAGGCCGGAGAAGGGTGGAGGAGCAGGCAGGTGATGCCTGGAGGAGGGGAACACCCCAGTCCCCACCCCAGCCCTTACTGGGATGATTTTTCTCTGCAGACCACTCCCAACTACACGCTGATCATCCAGGCTGCAGACCAGGAAGGCACTGGCCTGACCAACACTGCCACTGCCATCATCAAAGTCACTGATGCCAATGACAACCCTCCCGTCTTCGACCCCTCCACGGTACCACCCAGCCCCAGCTGCTGCCCTCCCCGGGCATCGTGGCACAAGCCCCCACCTGGGGTGCCTGGGGCCACACAGGTGACTGTCCCTGTCCCATCTTGCAGTATGAGGAGGCAGTGGACGAGAACGAGGTGGGGGTGCTGGTGGCCCGGCTGCATGTGACAGACCAGGACCTGCCAGGCTCCCCGGCCTGGCGCGCCGTCTACCGCATCCAGAGCGGGGACCCACAGGGCAACTTCGAGATCACCACTGACCCCAAAACCAACGATGGGCTCCTGAAAACTGCCAGGGTGGGTCCTGCTGCCGCACGGCTGCCTCAGCACCAGCTGACTCCCTGCTGGCACTACCTGGCTTCTCTCCCACCCCCAGGGCCTGGATTATGAGACCCAGAACCGGTACAAGCTCGTGGTGTCAGTGCAGAACGAGGTCCCCTTCACCGTGGCCCTGAATCCTGCCACAGCCAATGTCCTGGTGGTGGTCAGGGACGTGAATGAAGCCCCGATCTTCATACCCCCAGTGAAGCAGGTGGAGGTGATGGAGGATGTGCCAGTGGGATACCAGGTCACCTCCTACACAGCCCAGGACCCCGACAAGGACCAGAGACAGAAAATCACGTGAGTGGAGGGTGATAGCAGCAGGGGCTTTGCTGGGGTGTCTGAGGGGCTGCGCTGCGCCGTGTGCCCCTTTCTCTCCCCCTGCTGACCCCTGGCTGCCCCCAGGTATCGCATGGGCAGCGACCCTGCAGGGTGGTTGGCCATTGACCCTGAGAACGGCATCGTCACGGCAGCCCATCCACTGGACCGGGAGTCAGCACATGCCATCAACAGCACCTACAAGGCCATCGTCCTGGCCGTGGACAATGGTGAGGGTCCCAGCTGCTGCCCCCATACCCATCTCCATGTCCCCCCATGGGGTGCAGGCCCCTCCCTGGCTGCCTCACTGACTCTTAGTCCCACAGGGTCACCAAACTACGGCACCGGCACGGGGACGCTGCTCCTCCTGCTTCAGGATGTGAACGACAACGGGCCCGTGCCGGAGCCCCGCAGCTTCGACATCTGCAACCGGCAGCCCGAGGAGCAGACGCTGAAGATCATCGACAAGGACCTGCCTCCCAACACCCACCCCTTCAAGGCAGAGCTGATGCACGGCTCCGGCAGCAACTGGACTGCCAGCATGGTGCAACCAGGTGGGTGCCACCTGCTCTGGTGCTGGGCCCTGCAGTGAGCACTAGGCTGGGGACCTGCCACGGGGCAAAGTCCTGTGCCAGTGCCAAGGGCGTTCCCAGAACTGGGAAAGGGGCTGGAGCACCAGGAGTGGCTGAGGGAGGCTCAGGAGGAACCTTCTCACTCTCCACAACTTACTGGCAAGAGGGTGCAGCCAGGTGAGGGTTAGGATCTGCTCCTAAGATACAGGACAAGGGGAAACAACCTTGAGTTGTGGCAGGAGAGATTTAGGTTGGATATTGGGGAAAATTCATTCAAGGAAAAGGTGCTCAGGCATTGGAAGAGGCTGCCCAGGGCAGTGGTGGAGTCCCCATCCCTAGAGGGATTTAAGAGCTGCATAAATGTGGCACTTGGGGAGGTGAGCCGGTGGTGGCCTTGGCAGTGCTGGGGCATGGCTGGACTCCGTAATCTTGGAGACCTTTTCCAACCCAAATGATTCTGTGGTTCACCAAGACGAGGTGAAGCTGAGCATGAAGAAGGAGCTGGAGCCGGGCGAGTACAGCATCTTCCTGAAGCTGCTGGATGCGCAGGGCAAGGATCAGATCACGGCAGTGCGAGCCCAGGTGTGCAGCTGCGAGGGGCCAGCCAAGAACTGCGAGCGGCGAGCGTACATCTCCGGTGGCATGGGCGTGCCCGCCATCCTGGGCATCCTGGGGGGCATCCTGGCGCTGCTCAGTGAGTACCGGGGGACGAGGATGGGAGGGACAGAGTGCGGGTCACCCTCTCCCTGCTGCCCTGACACCCCCTCCCTGTGCCTGCAGTCCTCCTGCTGCTGCTGCTGCTCTTCGTGAGGAGGAGGAAGGTGGTGAAGGAACCACTGCTCCCCCCCGAGGATGACATGAGGGACAATGTGTACCACTACGACGAGGAGGGCGGTGGCGAGGAGGACCAGGTGGGATGGCTGTTCTTGCTGGACCCTGCCCGCCAAGTGGTGGTGGCACTGCCCCTGGTTGTCCCTCGAGCCTTGACTCCTCCTGTCCCTCCAGGACTACGACCTGAGCCAGCTGCACCGGGGGCTGGACGCCCGGCCCGAGGTGATCCGCAACGACGTGGCCCCTCCGCTCATGGCGGCCCCGCAGTACCGGCCCCGCCCCGCCAACCCCGACGAGATCGGCAACTTCATCGACGAGGTGAGTGCTGGCCTGGAGAGCCCGGGGGGGGTGACAGCGCGGGGGACGCCGGTGCTGACCCCCCTGTCCCCCCAGAACCTGAAGGCGGCCGACACGGACCCCACGGCCCCGCCCTACGACTCGCTGCTGGTGTTCGACTACGAGGGCAGCGGCTCGGAGGCCACCTCGCTCAGCTCCCTCAACTCCTCGGCCTCCGACGGCGACCAGGACTACGACTACCTCAACGACTGGGGCGGCCGCTTCCGCAAGCTGGCCGAGCTCTACGGCGGCGGCGAGGAGGACGATTAGGGACCCCCAGCCCGCTGCTGTCCCTGCCTCATTTCACCTCTCTGGACTCACATCGGTCTCTGTCCGGCGTGGCCAAAGCCCCTCCAACACCTCCTGAACCCTGTGCCCGTGTCTCCCTCACTGAGAAAAGCTCAGGCTCGCTGGGGATGGGGGGGTTTTGGGGCAGTCTGGGTGTTTCCTGGCCCCCTTGGCTCCAGGGCATGGAAGAGTTTAGTCCGTTCCCTATCCTGGGACTGAGGTGATCACAGCTGTGAGGGGCAGGATCAGGTCCTTCTTCCCTTTTCCATGAGGGGAACAAGGGTTTCTCTGGCGCTCTCCAAAATACCTCATGCTGCCAGCCCCACACAGGCTCAGACCGTGAACCTAGTGATGGAGAAGTGCAATGAGGTACTTGATCAACACAGACCAAAGATGCACCATCATCATAGAGAATTGTATTTACTTGAGAGAATTGTATTTACATAGAGAATTGTATGTACAGCCAGATTTCTATTTTTCTGTACCCTCGATTATGGTTTGATTTCCTCCTATGTTGTGCCAGGTGTAATTAGTGTGCAGTCATTGAAAGGTGCTTTCCAAAAATCAAAGGGCTTTCCCAAAATCCTGACCTCTGTGTTTAGCTGTTGTCACGGTTTGTATTTTTTATCATGGGAAAAGGGTCTGACGCGAGCTGGGAAACCAGCAGTGGCCAAGTGTTGATTGCATGGTTTTTATATAAAATTGAAATAATAAATTGTTTTAAGAAAATCAGACCACATTTCTGTGCGTGAGGCTCTGTCGGTGCTCGAAGCCTTTACCTGCTCTGCAGGTGTGGCCGTGGCCCCCTCCGCAGGGAAAGCAGAATTATAGAAGAGTTAAGAGTTTGAAGCGACCTTACGGATAATCCAACTCCATCCACCATGGGCAGGGCCACCTCCCACTGTCCCCAGTGCTCCCAGTGTCCAGCCCGGCCTTGGGCACTGCCAGGGATCCAAGGGCAGCCACAGCTGCTCTGGGCCACTGCCAGGGCCTCATCGCTGTCGAGTGAGCAGGATTCCTTGCCACCAGCGCACCCACCCTGTGCCGCGGCAGTGGAAGCCGTTTTCCTTGTCCTGTCCCTCACTCTTGTCCCCAGTGCCATCCCCGCCCTCAGGCGCTCCCTCCTCCCGTCCCCGACCTCCCCAAGATGGCGGCAGCCGCGCGGCCCCGCCCCCCGCGCGCCCTCCCCGCCCCTTCCCCTGACCCCGCAGCATGGCGGCGCTGCCCGACAGCGCTCCCGACATGGCGGGCGGCGCGCAGCCGGGCCCGGAGCCGGCCCGCGTGGTGGAAGCGCTGGAGCTGCTGCTGGGGCCGCCCAGTGATGGCGGCAGCGCTGCCGAGCCCGGCCGGGAGCCCGCCCTGTGCCCGGAGACGCTGCGCAGGAACGCGCTGGCGCTGGAGGAGCGGCTGTCAGGGGCAGCGGGCTGGGCCGCGCTGCGCGAGCTCCGGGCGG